AACAGCAGGGGGTGGCCCTGATGGCCTTCATGGCCCCCTCCAACTCTACTACTCTATGATTCTATGAAGGATACAACCCAATCACATGGCAGATGCTTTGCATGGAGGGGGTGCAGAATTCCACCTCTGTACCTCCTATTACTAGGACCTCCCAAGACGTTTTGTGGCTTGAAGCAAAAGACAAAATGGCACCTCTCCCATTTCCATGTACCAAACTACTGAATCTTCCTCCAAGCAGGCAGCACTGCCTACAGTTCCTGAGAGCCACAGCAAGATTGCACATGCAGCCTCGACTTCTTAACACGACTGGGACCTTTGCCAGCATCTTCGCCTCGAGATGGCCTTCTCACTCTGCCTAACAATAGGGCCAGCCCCATCCACTTCATGTCATACCACAGAACAAAACCTGTACCCAAGGATCCTGAAAGGGTCAATCTGTATGCCAGTTGGAAGCTAAATGTACCAATGGTCTCACTTCATGTAAGACATTTCCATTTTAGGTATAAAGCTGGACCACTGGCATACAAATTATCCTCCAGGTTGGACAGCCAGTTCATTTGACCTATGCAACCATGATTCTGCATTAAATATATCAGGCCATTTCCTTTAAGACAAACATTACTCAGACCAAAAGGTCACTATTGCTAACACCTTTCAACACTTCAGAGAAAACACATATAACAGGATTAGGGGATTCAAGCTAACCAAATTAGTGGTAAACTATATATCCATGCAGCTAAACCCTGAAGAAATTTAATTTCCAAAATAAGCAATCGATGAAAAAAGAATTAACTACTTTTAAGAAAATCAGCATCTCTGTTTATCTCAGAGGGGACAAGGATGCCATTTACTGTAATATTTAATACATTTTAATTGCACAAACCTTGACAAGAAGCTACAAATAAACACTATTTTTAAAAAGGAAGACTCATTTACTCTGAGTAAAGTGGACTGAAACAAAGTATTAAATTGATCATGCAAACAGACTAGGCAGGCAAACTCTTCAGACTGGTTCTGCCACTATGGACTATTGCGCTATTATTTAAGTAGCACATTTTAGTCTGAATTCTTGCTCATACACACCTGACATGCCATTATTAGTCACATCTCATAGACAGGGAACAGAGGCTGAAAAACAACTTCCTGAAGGTGACAAGAGCAGTAAAAGTCGAACCTAGTTCTTCCAGATGCCTATTCATTAGATCTTTTCAGTTGAACTACTTTGTATTTTAGCTAAGAGCTTCCACATTAATTATGTAAAAGTAACTTATTGCACTTACATGGGATGGAAAGCCTTGTGGGGATCAGGCACCAAATTACTCCCTCCCTGGGCCAAAGGATGCCAGGGAACAGCAAGGCCTGACTCCCAGTAATATTTGACATCGGTAGGGAAATTCTGCACGTGTCGAAGCGTCCCTGGCTGAGAAGGCAGGAACGCTGCTCTGCTGCACTCTTCAGCTTCAGTGCACGCTGATTTTCTTTCCCAAGTAGGCTTCAACATACGCAGGCTGATCATGCAACACATCTATGCCCAGTATATTCGAGAAGTTCCTGTTCCATACCCATTTTATTATCTTCAAACCTGACCAGTTACTTGATAGAGCAAAATATTGGGAGATTCTGCCCTCAAATACTGAGAGAACCAGTTTTCTGACAAATTGTCAAATGGGGAACACACAAAAATAAGATGCTTATGTGTGGTTCCAGCCTTCAATTTAATGGATCATGAAAAACTCAGGTTAAGAAAGTGAATGTGCTTTCAGCACCCACTAGTGATATTAGGCAATTACTGGCTTGGAGTCATTAAAGGCAGACCATTTCTGATTACACCTACGGAGCACTTGAACTTGTCGAGTCAAGACACCTGGGAAAGATGCCACCTTCCACCTTGGTGGCACTGAGAGAGGATGCTAAGCTATGATCTGTGTTATGCAAATAATATGTGGCTCATGACCACCTCCTCTCTTTGCATCATAAGACTCACTTTCATTTATAACTAGCTACAGTTACTCGTTATATATGAACTCAGAAAAACTGGTTCTTTGGAGCTATGGTTTAGGCAAACACACTCCAATGACACAAATAGATCACAGTTCATTGAAAATAGAAACCAAAGCATCCCATCTTCTCCTTGCAGCCATGCCAGAAGTGTGGAAAGCACGTCTGCCCCAGGCTCATGTACGTAACATTAAGCCAACATTTAGTGTTGCGTCTAAGCCAAATAATTGACTGCACTTGGATTTTAGGTCCAGCTAAGTTAAAGGAAGATAGTGTTAATTTGCAATGATGTCTGAATTGACATACTTATGGCTGTTGCCTTGTCTCTAGAGGCTGCAGCACGCAGAAACTTCGGTGATGAGCAGATGAAGAGTGGCATGTTGCAGACCATGGTGCTGCTTCTATGTTTAGAAGGTCAAACCATAGCATGGGTTCTAAACGACTATTATAAACCACTGAGCCACCAAAGCAAAGACGCATGAGAAAACAAGGGACAAAACTCAAGGGAAAAAAGCACTTCAGAATGCACGAATGCATTTGATAGAGGAACACTTCAGATATGATGGTCTTCTCTATGTACTTTTTCTCCTGAACGGTAGAATCCAGCCTCAAGCCACTCTTGGAAGAACAACCCAAGCCTGTGGATGGGTTTGCATGCTGTACTGACCACAGAATGATGTACTACCTCATTTGGTAGACACTAGATATGCAGAGGTACAGTTTGCAAAATTACATGCAGACTTAAGTTAAAAATTGCTGAAATACTTCAATATGTGCAAATATTAAAATCAATATATTAATGGCTAAATAAAAACTGCAAGTTGTTGAAACTCTCAACTGAAAAGCCAAATTGAAAACTAAATTTCACTGCACGTATTGACAAATTTTACATATTACTGTAAAATCACCTCTCAAGCATGCTAATCTGATGTGGTATTATGGGTTGTTGTAATTTTTAAAAAACCCCAAAAACATAGAACACACTTTAAATTTAAATGGCACAGAAAGGATAATAGAAAAAAAAATACCTGCAAGAATGGGGGGGGGGTGAGAATGGAGCATTAAGAAATCTCTGAATACCTTACAGACATTTGCCAAATTAAGTGTTAAGCCAAGGAGCTGTGTATTAACTGCGCATAAGACTTTCTTCCACACCCTCTTTGCTCCGCACACAGGCAAAAGATTTGTATTCAGAGAGGCACCTATCTCCTGGGATCCTGCATAATGTAACGCTCTGAGTGACAGAGATTCTTTTTAGAAAATGTGAAATTGCACATAAAAAACAAGGGCCAAGCAAGAAGACCATTTTCTATTTAAGACTCTGTTGGCCAGTGAACACCCAGGCCTACGCAGCATGCCAAATGGATCTCTGTATACTATGCTCTCTGTCAGGTACAGTCTGTGTGCAATATGCCTTCTGGCCCACGCACTCCCATGCACTGGAACACATCTGCGACATCACAGGGTGGTGCTAGTCGCAGGACCAGGAGACTCAACCCGGAGCACATTCTCTTGTACAGTATGCTGTACCGGGGTATGTTAATAGAACACAAGGTAGATGTCTACGAATTCTTCCCCTTCTTCAAAAAGTATGCATGCGGGCAGTTCCCTACCCTTTTCTGAGCAAATACCCAACAACATGATGAAGCAGAGAAGGTCTGGCATGCCATGTAAAATCTATATAACAGGAGATGTAAAAGGTTCCCTCATATGGATTTGCGTAGTATGCAAACAGGAAGGCAGTGAGCAATTTGAAAAAGGGGGTGCAAAATATCCCATCATGATAGAGGTCTGTCTGTCAGAGAAGGGAAACATGTTCTAGTTTCCCATGCCATGTGCTTCTGGGCCAAGATTGCCAGACAGCATTTTGAAGAGACTATTATTGTAAGAGCATCACTGTACTGCAGTATAAAATGAAAATGCCACAGCATCCACATACAAGTATCACACAGAAGTGGTGTTGTTGTTGTTGTTTTCCAAATCATCACACAGCAACCTGGGCCATGTGTCCTTGTTCCTCCCCTCCCCCAAACATAGACTCCAGCCACCACCAATCTAATCAGGTACTCCAAATTCTGCCAAAACCAACCTTTAGCAATTGAGATGTCTGGCTAAACCTGCACACACACTCCCGACCTTACAGCATGAAAACCATGCTTTCTCACACCTTCCCCAATAAAACACCCAGGCATGACTGCTTTGTTCTGCAATCCATTTTATCCAAAGGGGCCGCCCAAAGACATAATGATAAAACCTACTCTGCTGACCCTTTGCAGTCAAGCGTAGCCAGCATACCTGCCATCCCCACTTCTACAACCACCGCCACCCGAACCTCTCCAAGACTGAGTCCTAGTGCTTCTGTCTCCTACTCCGCTTGTGCCCCTGAGCTAACTTTATATGCTTTTTAAGTATTTCTCAACAGTAACCTGGAAACAGGGCCCAACCCAAGGCGCAGTTCAACCTGAAAACGTATTCTGCAAGTCCTGAGACATGCTTTCATTTGCCTTTTTTTTTCCCCTTCTTTTTTGGTAAGAACCTGCAAGCACGTGCGAAATGCAGCTGCCTCACCGCTGAGCAACTCCTAGCACACTGGGCATATGGGCTGAGACCTCTAGATCCACAGATATAGCCTTCATGCCCACAACTAGGAGGAAATAAATCGACCTTTACCTAGACTTACTTGGCTGGTCTCAATCAATACCTTAAGTACACAGCGCACTGGTGCAACTGCTCCACGGTTTTATAACCCTGGCTAGGCTTCAACCCTGCACAAACTTCCTCGGCACTAAGTCTCACCGAAATCAAAAGGGCTTGCTTCAAGAGGAGACATATGGGCACAGCGTGGGGGCTTCTCCTACCTACCCCCCCCATTCATTCCCCTTTCTCCCTATGCGTGTGCTTCTTGCGATGCATCCCCTTGGCTAGGCCTCTGGGAGAAGCGAGAGAGAGAGAGAAAGCAGAGGGGAGAAAAGAGGGAGGCTCGGCCCCTTGCAGCTCCTCACCCCACCACTCCTTGGCTGTAATTCGTCTTCTTCCACGGGGTGCCGGTGTAGGCGGGCTCGTCCGGGCCGGCCTGCGGCCTTCCCAGGGGGCCGTCCCCCGGCGCAGGGTCGCCGCTCTCCCCGGCGGGCCCGAGCAGGAGCGTGTAGTTGAGGCCGAAGGTGCTGGCCTTGTTGTCCCGCTTCCTCTTGTTGCTGGCCGCCGAGCTGCTCGAGGCCGAGGGGCCGGCGGGGTGGGAGGGCTCCGGGGCGGCGGCGGGGGGCGGCGGCGCGGCGACGGCCGCGGGCGAGGCGGAGGACGC